AGAAAGAAAAAGAGGGAGAGAGAGAAAGCGAGAAAGCTAGCCACCAAGTCCGGGCCTCAAACCACAGTTGGCCATGTGGGAGTCCAGTGCCTTTAACTACCATGCCACCTGCCAGCCCCAATAATAATACATTTTTTTTAATTAAAAAATAAATATTTCAGTGAGGGGGCTGGCAGGTGGCATGGTGGTTAAAGGCACTGGACTCCCACATAACTGACTGGTTTGAGTCCCGGACCTGGCAGCTTGATCGATCTCCCTCTTTCTCTCTCTGTTTCTCTTTGGTCAAACCTGAAAAATAATGATAATAAATAAATAATTGTTTAAAAAATACTTAAGCAAGAAAACAAAATTTTAACCCCCCCACCACAATCCTGCTGATGAAGTTCCTAGCTCACCAGGAGTGATCAGATATTCAGGTTTTCAGAGAAGAGCTAGAAATCTAAATTTTTTAAAAAATTAATTATCAATTAAATTAATTAATTCTTATTTTAATTTGCTATAGGACATGTGTGCTCATCAGAGGGAGACAGAGTAAGAGAGAGAGAGAAAAAGCCATGAGGTCTGGGACTTGAACTGCAGTCTGCCATGTGGGGGTCCAGCACCTTAACCACCACATCACATGCTGCCCCTTGTTTTTTTGTTTGTTTGTTTGTTTGTTTGTTTTTTAATAATTGTAAGAGGATGTGGGGAAAGGGAGTAGGGAGTGGGTTGGGAAGGGGAGGGTGCTAGGTGGGAAAGGGAAGGACTTGGGTGGTGGGTTGAGATGGAACCCCCTTCCAGTGGAGCATGGTCATGCCACTATCTCTTCTCTTCCATCCTCCATCCTTCTGGATGGAGTAAAGTGGTGTGCACACACATATGCCCTGCATGTTTTTCAAGTCTGGGCCAGGATTCAAATCATGGTTGAGATCTGGCTCCCTTAACCACTGGATCTTGGAGCCAGCCCTGGAAATCCAGAATTTTAAAAAATATTTATTTTGGGACCAACAGTTGGAGTAATGGCTATAGGGCATGTGCGCTCACCAGACAGACAGATGTCGCTGGACCTCCCATGTAGTCAACTGTGATTCGAGTCCTGGCCCCAGTGACTTAAACTCATATCAGATGCGTGTGTGCGCATGCCCAAGATCCTGAGAGGAGAATGGAGGAGAAGGGATTGCAGCTTGGCCATTCCCCCCTGGAGGGTGATTTAATGCTTTCTGTCTTTTTGGTGAGCGCATGTGACCTATAGGAAAATCCTCTAAAAAATTATTTTATTATTATTTAACTTGCTATAGTCATCAGAATGAGATGGGAGGGAGTGAGAAAGCAAGACTTAAACCATGGTCAACCATGTGGGAGTCCAGCGCCCTAATCACCACACTACCTGCTGGCTCCTGAAAATTCAGAATTTTAAGTAAAATTTCTTAATTATAAACACTTTATGTAAATATACCTCCTCCTTCTATCTGTTAGGCTTAGAAGAAATGACATCCTTGTAACAACAAATACTTAGTACTCAGATCTTGTTTTTTTTTTTTTTTTAAGAATTGTTTACTTAATTTTATTTATTATCATTTTAATTTGCTATAGGGTACATGCGCTCACCAGAGAGAGACAGAGAGAGAAAGCGAGAAAGCAACCCACACTGTCCAGGACTTGAACCACGGTTGGTCATGTGTGTCCAGCACCTTAACCACCATGCCACCGGCTGGGCCCCCGATCTTGGTTTCTAAATACCATCCTTCACTAAAAGGAGCTAAGGTTCCCTGCAGAAATGGCTGGGTCCCAGGGGTGAGGCAGGGAAATTATGACATGAGCCTGGGACATCTTACTGAGGCAGAAAGTAAGAAAGTGTCCCCCAGGAACATCTACAGGGCACAGGTTGGAGGGGTTCCCAGCCAAATCTGGGGAAAATAGTAAATAAAAAATAGTTATAGGGAACCAGCAGTTAGCGTAATGGCTATTTCGCTGGACTCCCATGTAGTCGACCGCGGTTCACCTCCTGGACCCAGTGGCTTAAAACTCACGCCAGGCACATGTGCGTGCGTGCCCAAGATCCGAGAGGAGAAGGGATTGTGGCGTGACCATCCCCCCTGGGGGGTGATTTCTCGCTTTCTGTCTCTATGTCTCTCTCTGTCTGGCGAGCGCACGCGCCCTATAGTGAAAACCTCTCAAAAAAATTGTTATAAATATTGATAGTAATGTATTATAATACCTTAGCAAGGGGGGCAAGACACTATGAGCCCACGCTGTTACTAAACATAGAATAAAACACTGCATTTGCCGGAAGAACATGTCCAAGGACTGTAATTGGTCCTGAGTGTCAGGTCTGTACCTTGCACCGAGGATGGATGAGAAGCAGCAGTTCAGCTGGTTAGAGATGGGGGTGCAGAAGGGGAGCTGGGAAATGGGCAATGGGAGATCAGACCAGTCTCTGAGGACCTCCAATGTCTGGTCGGGAGTCTGGATTTGACTCTGTGGACCCCTGGGAGCAGCTGAAGGTCTATGAGGTCTGTGAGCAAGAAGGATTATGATCACCGCCCTTGTTTTCCTGGCCAAAGGCTTGGAGGCAACAAAGTATGTGGATTAGAAATCAGCTTCTAGGGGCAGGCCCCATAGCCTCCTGGTTAAAGGGCTCTCCATCCCATAGTCAATGGCAGTTCAAATCTCGGCCCTAGTAGCTTGAAAAACATGCTCTGTGTGTGTATGTACATGCATGCCCCAAACCCCATGAGGATGGAGAAATGGAAGAGAAAGGATTACAGCATGACTATACCCTAATGGTGCGTGCTTTCTCCTTCTCCTGCTCTCTGTCTCTCTCTCTGTCTCTATGTCTGTCTCTCTCTGGCAAGCACATGCATCCTCTAACAATATATATTTTTAGACAGATTTTTGCTATAGGACATCTGAGCTCACTGGAGAGAAAGAGACACAGAGACAGAAAGTAAGAAATCACCCCCCAGGGGAGGAAACCAGCAGTTAGCGTAATGGCTATGTCACTGGACTCCCACGTAGTCGACCGCGGTTCGCGACCCAGACCCGGTGGCTTAAAACTCTCACCGGGCACGTGTGCGTGCGTGCCCAAGATCCCTAGAGGAGAATGGAGGAGAAGGGATTGCGGCGTGACCATCCCCCTGGGGGATGATTTCTCGCTTTCTGTCTCTAATGTCTCTCTCTGTCTGTCTGGCGAGCGCATGTGCCCTATAACAAAAAAACTCTCCAAAGAAAATAAAATAAATCATCCCCGAGGGGACACAGCCATGCTGTAATCCCTTCTCCACCATTCTCCTCTTGGGATTTTGGGTATGCACGCACATGTGCTCAGTGTCTGGGTCTGGGACTCAAACCACAGTTCACTACATGGGAGTCTAGCTAATAACCAATTTGCCATCTGCTGATCCCCTAATATATATATATATATATATTAATTATATATATATATTAATTTAGAAATCAGCATCCACGCTCCCCAGAAACATACCACTGTGTAGTGAAAGTGACCTTGCAGCTATGAGACCCTTGTTGAAGTCCCTGTTACAGTGTTCAGTTGTCCCATGAGTAGGCAAGCCGCTTAATCTTTCTGAGCCTCTCTGAGGCTGGACTCTGGAGACAAAATACCTGAGTTTAAAGTCTGCTAACTATGTGACCACAAGAAAAATGTTCTAACAGCTCTGTGTCTCAGTTCCTACATCTGTGAGATGGAGAAAATAAGAACAGTACCTACTAAAACACAGGTTAAATGAGCTGTCCAGGAGCCAGCAGGTGGCACAGTGGTTAAGGCATTGGACTCCCACATGACCGACCGCAGTTCAAGTCCTGGACCTGGCTTGCTTTCTCACTTTCCTTCTCTCTGTCTCTCTCTGGTGTGCACATGTACCCTATAGTAAATTTAAATATAATAATAATAGTACATAAAATTAAATAATTTTTTAAAAAGGAGATGTCCTTGTGAAAGTAAGTGACAAAGTAAGTGAGCGTTTAACATTAGCTCTCAGGGTGGGTAGGTGGTGGTCAAGGTGATCGAGGCTCTGGACTCCCACTGACCATGGTCTGAATCCCAGACCTGGAGGCTTATTTTCTTTTTCTCTGTCTCTCCCTGCCTCTCTCTGGTCAAATTGGAGGATAATGACAATAAATTAAATAAATAATTCTTTTTTTAAAAATTAGCTTTCAGGACCAGCAGTTGGTGTAATGGCTATGTCGCTGGACTCCCATGTAGCTGAACGCGGTTCGAGTCCCAGACCCGGTGGCTTAAGCTCATGCTGGGTGTGTGTGCATGTGTGCCCAAGATCCTGAGAGGAGAACAGAGGAGAAGGGATTACAGTGTGGCCATTCCCCCGAGGGGGTGATTTCTTGCTTTCTGTCTCTCTGTCTTTCTGGTGAGCACATGTGCCCTATAGCAAAAACCTCAAAAAAAGCTTTCTTTATTAGCAATGCCTCCCCATTCAAACAGCTTCGAGAGCCCCTTACCCACAATAGTTGCTTATTTTTTTAAAAGAATTATTTATTTATTTAATTCCATTTGTTATTATTATATTTTTTTTAATTTTTAATTTGACCAGAGAGAGGGAGAAAGGGAAAATGAGAAAGCAAGCTGCCAGGTCTGGGACTTGAACAGCAGTCAGCCATGTGGGAATCCAGTACCTTTAACTACCACGCCACCTACTGGCTCAATAGTTACTTATTACACTTCATTTGACTGAATGAATGTCACAATGCTGTCTGCTACTAGCCCTTACCTCCTAATACTGATTTCTTTTCATGGTCCTCACTCTGGTCTGAGGACATTTATTGTGTTGATGGTTGTGTAGTCAAGAGGCCTGAGTTCAAATCCCGCTCCGCCACTTTTCAATTGTGTGACCTTGGACAAACCTTCTAACCGCTCTGGGTCTTGATTTTCTTACCAGGAGGATGGACATAATAGAACCCCTGAAGATGGTTGAGAGATTAAACAAGCTGATATGCAGCTTCGTGATTATTGCATGGACTCAAACCGCATGTGGCATCGTCTCAGCCTGTTTTCTCACCTGTAAAACAGGGCTAATGATCATGCCTTGGGTAAGGTTATCTTACGCATTGAATGGGACTGCACAGGGAATGAACCTCGCCTAGTGCCTGGCGGGGAGCGAGCTCACAGCAAAGCTCTCTCTGACTAGGATGACTTTTGAGCAACATGAATTTGCTGCCGCTACAGATTCTGTCTGGCTCCCAAAGCTCAAAATCATTCTGACCTCCCACGAGTGGAGGCAGGGTTTGGGGGAGGTTTATAACCCCCAAGAAGGCATCTTTTGAACTAAAAGCTGGTACTGTCAAGCTTCTTCACAATCAGTAAGAAAGGCTTTCTTCCTCCCTCTTTCCCAAAATAAAAACCCACCGGCCAAGTGCTTCGAAGTCTTCATGTCTGCAGCGGCAGCCACCCACGAGTCCAAAGGTAAGCCAGCTGGCTGACGGCTGTTAGCGGGATCCGCCCAGCCCGGCCCAGCCCAGCTCCACAGAGACACAGCTCATGGGCCTGGATGTGGAGCACTTAGCATCTTTCTGGATGATTCTTTTTTTTCCCTAGATGATTCTTAATTGCACCTGAAAGCAGCGACCTGGAGGTTAGCGCTCCCAGTGTGTATGTACCTGCCGCTTAAAGTGCCGCTTTCAAAGGAACTGTTTGCTGGAAGCAAATACCTTTGTCCCTCCCACTCCCTTATGCAAGCAAGAGAATGCTGCACCCAGAATGTCTTGTTACATAGCAACCTTACCCCCAGGCCGGAAGTAAAGTAGACTCTGGAGTCAAGAGACCTGTATTCAAATCCCACTCTGCCACTTTTCAACCATGTGACCTTGGACAAGCTCTCTAACTGCTCTGGGTCTTGATTTTCTTAATGGGAGAATGGGCTTCATGTAACCCCTGAATATGGCTGAGAGAGTAAATGAGCTGATGCACAGTGCTAAACACAGGGAGAACCTTCAACACAAGGGAGCCAGGTCTATTCTCGACACTGAGGCACAGGGCTGGGTTGAAGAGTTAACTGAAGCCCAGGGAATATGGTCTGACTGACCATAGTCTGGTCAGTCCAAGCACCTTGTATTTATGCTGCTCAGAAGAATGGAATTTTAGAATAGCCAGGATAAAAACAAAAACAAAAACAAAAAACAACCTCCACATGGCCCGTGGCTCAGTGGTTGAGGCAACTGGGTCCTATGTTGCCAACCATGAGATTCAAATCCTGGCCCAGTGACTTAAAAAACACACTGAGGTGGCATGGTGGTTAAGGATACTGGACTCCCACATGGTTGACCGAGGTTCGAGTCCTGGACCCGTGGCTTTAAACATGCCAGGCAAGAGTGCATACATGCCCAAAATCCCAAGAGAAGAATGGAGGAGAAGGAACTGTGGTGTGGTCCTTCCCCCAGGAGGTAATTTCTCACTTTCTGTCTCTCTGGCAATCACACTCACCCTATAGCAAAAACTTCTCTCAAAACACAAAACAAAACAAAACACACTGAGGGAACCAGCAGGGGGCATGGAGGTTAAGGTGCTGAAACCCACATGCCTATATGTGGTTTGAGTCCTGGATCCGGTGGCTTAAAAAGTATGCTGGGTACGTGTGCATGCATCCCCAAAATCCCAAGAAGAGACTGGAGGGGCTGGCAGGTGGCCTGATGGTTAAGAGAGCTGGATTCCCACATGGTCAATCACGGTTCAAGTCTCAGGACCTGGTGACTTGCTCTCTCATCTTTCCTCTCTCTCACCACTCTCACTCTCCCTCTCTGGTCAAATTAAAATAAATAAATACATAAAGTCAAATAAAATAATTCTTTAAAAAAGAAGAAGAGGGACCAGCAGTTGGCGTAATGGCTATGTCACTGGACTACCATGTACTCGACTGCGGTTCGAGTCCCAGACCCGGTGGCTTAAACTCATGCCGGGCACGTGCGCATGCGTGCCCAAGATCCTGAGAGGAGAATGGAGGAGAAGGGATTGCGGCATGGCCATCCCCCTTGGGGGGTGATTTCCTGCTTTCTGTCTCTCTGTCTCTCTCTGTCTCTCTGTCTGGTGAGCGCACGTGCCCTATAGCGAAACCTCTCCAGAAAAAAAAGATATATTCTAAAAAAGAAGAAGAAAGAAACTGGAGAAGAAGGGGTTGCAGTGTGGCCATCCCTCAGAGAATGATTTTCACTTTTCTTCTCTCAATCTCTCTTTCTCTCTCTCGTGAGTGCACACACCCTATAGACAAAGAAGAAAAACACACTCTGTGTTTGTGTGTGCATGCATGACCCAAATTCCAACAGGATGGGGAAAAGGAATTGCGGAGTGACCACGCCCCAGGTTGGGGTGTGTGCCTTCTGACTCAACAACAAAAAGACAACCCAGTTTAAAAGTGGGCAAAGTGGGGCCCACAGGTGACATGGTGGTTAAGGCACCTGGATTCCCACATGGCCAACTGTGGTTTAAGTCCTGGACTGTGGCTTGCTTTCTCACTTTCTTTCTCTCTCTCTTGCATGGGTCCTAATAGCAAATTAAAATAATAATAATAATAAATAAAATTAAATAACTATTTTAAAAAACAAAATTAAAATGGGCAAAGTATATGCATAGACATTCTCCAAAGAAGTTATACACATGGCCACTTAGCATGAGAAAAGATGCTCCTCAATGTCACTAGTCATTAGAGAAATTATCATTAAATCCGTACTTGGGGGCCAGCAGGAGGTGAAGGTGCTGGACTCCCACATGGCCGAGCATGGTTCAAGTCCTAGACTTGGTGAAACACGCCAGGCATGTGTGTGTGAGTGCCCAAAATCCCATGAGGAGAAGGGATTGAAGTGCAGCCATTCCCCTCAGGGTGATTTCTCAGTTCCCTGTCACTGTCTCTGCTTCTCTCTCTCTCTTTGCCTCTCTCTAGTGAGCACACACGCCCTCTGCCAAAAAGCTTTTTTAAAAGGTCTTGCTGGGAGCCAGCAGGTGGTATGGAGGTTACGGTCCTAGACTCCCACATGACTGACTACAATTCAAGGCCTGTACCCAGCAGCTTAAAAATCACACCAGGAGTGTGTGTGTGTGCCCCAAATCCTGAGAGGATATTGGAGAAGAAGGTCGCTGTCTTTCTATGAGAGCATACAGGGAAAAAAAAAATCTAAGGAAAAAAATCTTAGTCAATGTCGCAAGTGACAAGATAGCCAAGGGACACGGGTTTCTTGTTAATGATGGTGGATTTAAATCCCTACCTCAGCAGTGCTCTTGATAATATCCATTGCTTGGTATTGTTTCTCGCCAGATCTCACTAGCTTGTCTTTTTTTAAAATACTTTATTTTACTTTAATTTGACCAGAGAGGGACAGAGAGTTAGAGAGAAAGTGGGAAAGCAAGTCACCAGGTCCAGGACTCGAACTATAGTCAGCCATGTGGGAGTCCAGCATCCTTAACCACCACACCACCTGCCAGCCCCTAGCTTGTCATTGTTTTTACCTGGTTATATGGTTAGCCCTGGACGTAGCAGAGACTGTACAATACTGCACAAAGGCCTCGAGGTGGAGTAACTGATGAAATGCAATATTTTTGCAGCGGGATTTTTATGTAATCATACCCCGTCTTCCCCATTGGGATCTAAATCTACTGCTGGCATGGTGATCAAGTCTCTAGACTCCCACATGGTTCGAGTTCCAGACCTGGCATCTTGTTTTCTCACTTCCCCCCTCCCCTCTTTTCCTCCCTCTCTCTGGTGAGCACACATACCCTATAGCAAATTAAAAAATAATAACAATAATAAAATAAAATAAATATTTAAAAAATAATAAATAATAAATCCACTGCATTGTCCCCAACACCTTGCAGGAGCTGGCCCATTGTTTGAATGAATTTTGATTTTTTTAAAGAGAGAGATGTTTGCAATAGGGCACGTGTGCTCTCCAAAGAGACAGAGGGACAGGTAGCGAGAAATTCCCCTCCAGGTGGATGCCCACACGGCAATCCCTTTGTCCTCCACTCTCCTCTCTGGATCTTGGGCACGCACGCACACATGCCCAGCATGAGTGTTAAGCCACTACGTCCGGAACTCAAATCTCAGCTATGTGGGAGTCAAGCAACGTAACCATTATGCCATCTGCTGGTCCCTGTTTTAGAGAATATTTACACACCAGTGCCTCCCTGTTAAAACTTGCAAAGCAGATTGTACTCTTTTTTTCTTTTTCCTTTTCTCTCTCTTTTTTTAAAAGTTTGTGCTACAGGGCGTGTGCACTCACCAGAGAAAGACAGAGAGAGAGGAAGTGAGAAATCGCCCCCTAGGAGAGATGGCCACACCACAAGACCTCCTCCTCCATTCTTCTCTGGGATTTTGAGCACACACGCCCATGTTCCTGCACTTGGTGTGTTTTTCAGACTGCCAGGTCTGGGACCCAAAATGTACAGTTGACCTTGTGGGATCTAGCATTAACCACCATGCCACTGGCTGTCCCCAGGACTCTGTTCTTTTTCATTTTTCGCTTCAGGCTAAGTACAGTAAGCCGAACCGGGCAGGAGCAGTAAGAGCCTAGGGAACAGGAGAGAATAAGGTAGGCGGTGTTGCCAGCTGAGTCTGAGATATTTGCTTGCCTCCTGGTGGTGCAGATAGGAATTACTCCTGGTTCCTATCAATCTGGCAGTCTTGAGGAACCAGCTGAAATGAAGGTGAAATTCTCTGCCCATGGGTTTGTAAATGTAGCATCGCCTAATGGGGTCAGTTACGTGTAATTTAGGTAAGTGCAGCAATACATGTATGCAGCCCGAGGCTGAGACACAGGACCCCAAGCTCTAAGGTTCACATGATTTGAGCACTGGGTCATTTCTAATTCATTTCAATTATCCCTAATGAATCACTGTTCAATTTTTACTTAAAAAGTGATACATGGGGATAGCAGGTGGCGTGGTAATTAAGGCTTTGTACTCCCACACAGCTGACCATGGTTCGAGTCCTGGACTTGGCAGTTTGACAATCACACTGAGTGGGTGTGCCTGCATGCCCATAATCCTGAGAGGAGACTGGAGGAGAGGGGATTGTGGCGTGCCCATACCCCCAGAGGGATGATTTCTCATTTCCCCTTTCACCGTCTCTCTCTGGCAAGTGTGTGCACCCGATGGCAAAAACCTAAAGAAAAGATACATTAACTTGATATAAGAGTTTAGGCAGGGCTGCATAGGAGCTGGATCGCATGTGGCCAACCGCAGTTTCAGTGCCAGCTCCATAGCTTGAAAGCATGCTGGGCACATGTGCTTGAATGATAGAGAAATGGAGGGAAAAGGATTGCAGCATGACCATACCCCACGGGAGGGTGCCTTCTCTCCTCTCTCCCTCCTTTCTCTCTCTGGCGAGCATATCCATCTTCTAGCAAAAAAGGGGGGAAGGGAGTTGAGGCAACACAAGAGGGATGAGCATGGCAGCAAGTCTCCCTCAGGCCCGGTTTGCATTCCCAGTGGGAACTGCTGGTATCAGATATTCAGGAATCTTTCCAGCAGAGGGCCCAGCTCATCCCAGCTTACCTGAGACCTACCTGCCCAGCTCTGGTACTAACCATCTGCACCCTGGGAAGGCCCTCATTCCAGGCAAATCTGGACGGCTGGTTGCCCAACCTTCCAGAAGCATCTATTCACCTACAGTCTCGCACGTTTACTGGTCACATACTTGGCGCCTTGATGCGGTTTTAATTCATATTGGAGATGGTTCCGCCTCGGCTCCATATTCAGGTAACAAATATTCAGGGAGCTGCTTAGTATGCACCAGGTGCC